ATGTGCTAAATTACTAGGATATCTGCTGATTTTCCCCTCCTCCCCTCTCCTCTTTTCCTTTCGCGCTTCCCCCCTCTCTCTTCTTCTTTTTTCTCACTGCGAAAAATTATTTAAATCCAAAAATAGTTTACTTCGGAGTCAGCCTGTATGTTAAGTTTGAATAATTTACGGTATTTAAAAGGTGGCTTTCATTACAGCTGCCGTTCCGCTTGGTTTATATTGAGGTTTTGAATGTTACGGTAGTGTTGCTTGAACTCGCTTTTGAAGTTTGTAACTTCGGAATTACACGTTTGAAAACTGTTGGAAATTTGCATTTTCAACTTGCTGCACGCTTAAAAATTAAAAATTAAAGTTTGAAATTGAAAAATAACGGCATTTAAATGGGAGTAGTATAACCAAAGGGCTTCATGTCTTCGATTCCTTCAATTCCTCTTCCTTACTTTTGTTCTTTTTTGGTCAACTAGTTTTACTTCTGTCTGTTACTTTACTTCAGGCAGAGGCAACGCATTGGTTTTAAATAGCCCAGTTTGTAGATTAAATTCTCAATGCAACACTTTGTCATACAACTCCAATATATTGGCGAACGGAAGATAAAAGTTTTATTCTGGCAAGTAGCTCAAAATTACTGCTTTTCAATCGTTTAGCTCGTTAATTAAAACTTTCTTAATTAGCACAAAATATTAAATAAATTTGGAAAATTTCAAATTCCAAATTTGTGCTTCGAGTTGCAGATGTTTGGGTGGAAGATTGTTATGCGTTTAAAATTCAGTGGCTCTAGGTGTCGCTGTGTTTTCACAATTCGAAGAACAAACACGCACATATACCTACATTATATACAGATTATTTCATCGTTTAATAATAAAGATTAGAAATACACGAGGTTCATGAACTTAGACTGTAGCTTTCTATGCAATAACTTCACAACTCATTTAAAACGCAATTCGTTTTTTACTTCCTTGTACGAAGTAAAAAGGAAGTATTGTAATCGCGAAAAGCTTCAGGCAGCCATATTTCAACGAAAATATCCACTTTGACCGCTTTCGAATGCATTTAACGATTGTTGCGTGATATCTGTAGTAAGGACAGGATAAAAGACTCTTTTCCTCCAAAAAAACTAAAAAACTACTTTAAAATGAATTCTAAAGAGAATTTTTCGTGGCGTCTGCACGAATGTATGTACGTACGTGAGTACGAACGTACTAACGTATCTCGCATAACTCAAAACCGAGTAGGCTCAGAACGTTGAAACTTTGTATATAGAACTGCTATAACATGTAGATGTGCACCTCGTATTTTGGTTTCAATCGGCCGCGCCAAACGCATATAAATATATTTAAAATATATCCACTCTGTTACTCGGCACAGTGATCTCAATTTTTTTACTGTTATTTGTTTGTAAATTGTACATTTTTTTTCTTTAAAAATGATAGAATTATGTTGTTTTTATCTTCTGGTTAAGGGTTTTATGCCTTTATTAAATTTGTATGCAATATTTTTAGAATTATCAACAATTTAAAAGTTGTTTAAGTGCCGCTAACTTTTTTGATGGCGGCCATTGCTTGTTTACATTTGAAACACTGAGTAGTGAATTTGTTGCCAATCTAGAGAAACTAGCTTCACACAGCAAATATAAACGCCTTCATTTATTATTGCGATTTAAATCATGCTTAAATCCTTTCTGGAATTTTTTCGAGGAAATAAGTGTTTTAAGATTTACTTATTTTATAATTAGTAATTTAATTTAAATAATTAGTAATTTTTAGTAGAAATATTTTGAGTTTTTATGTATTTTTGCCTTGTCCCGAAGTGAGAACTGAATTATTGAATGAGAAATACTCAATCGTCTGTGAAAAACTTTCTTTTTTGTTTTGTTTGCTTAATTTCTTTTATACATCGTTCTAGCTTTATTATAGTACTTGAATAGAACATGTGGCAACGATTAGACAATTCTTTAAATGATACAAATTTTGTGCATTCTGAGTTACAATATGAACGAAATTATAATACTGTTAAGTGAACCTAGCGTAAACAAAATATGGTAAACAAATAGAGTGAATTTTAAAGAATGCACTTATTCTATTGTGTTTTATGCGCTGTCGGCGAAGTAGATATAATTAAATCCAATAAGTTTAAACAAAATGCAAGAAAAAATACGTATAATTTAATATTCCGTACAAGGAAGTCATGTGGTGTACACATCAGATTTTTTTAATGTATATTACATAATTTCATTTACTATTTTGTTGTGTTTTTTTCATTTTATTTATTCATTTCATTCCACATTTTAAGCCGTTTTTTGAGCGCTATCTGAAACAGTCTTTGTTTAATAAATAATTGAAATCATATTAATTTATTGAATTTAAATTTAATCAAAATGTATGGAAACATTTTTAATAAGCATTGTCTACTTTAGAAAATTTGGACAATTTTCTTGATAGAAATTTTATTTTTGCTCAGCGGAAATAGCATTAGAGGTATGAACTTTATAAGACAAATAATTTGCAATATAAAGCATATTAAGTAAATATAAGACAAATAGATATAGGTAGGATAGATAAGATAAAATAGATAGGTAGATAGAGAGATACAATACATAAGGTTAATATAAGTTAAAAGATAGATAGGTAGATATCTAAGGTAAAGTTACTGCAGACTCAAACAGAAATATCTGTAAATCTTTTCCATATATTCTGCAATTATCTGCCTTTTTGTTCTTAATAAACGCCTTTAAATTACATTCTTTCTGCATCATTCATATTTTTATAGCAAATCATTGTTATTTATGAGAAATTGAATACATTCATTTACTCGAGGAAAAGTAACTCCATGTATTTTATAGAGATTGGTCTTCTCAGAGGGCACACTTGACCAAATCTCTGAAAGACAACTAGCGAATTATCGCTATGTCTTTTAAGTACCACAGAGACAGGAAAAGGGTGTAAAGACCCATTTTATTAATCCAAATAAAGTTTAACAGATGGCACCAATTCGTGCATACAGAAGCCAACACTTTTGGCTTTAAATCAAAGGTAATGGATAAACTGAAGTTAATGAAATTTAAGTCTAGCCTAACGGCTTCACAGTTTAACTATCTCTCAAGTTGGCTTTGGCAGAAGTCGACATAAACAAGCCTCATGGCAAGCATAACTGATCGCCGTAGAATTCTAATCGTTAAAGAATCAAAGTTAGCAGCACGACCTTCAAGCAGACGGAACAAGCTATGATTTCACTCTCCAAAACCTTCCCTTGAGTACTTCCTCTTTTCTACCCAATTAGAATTAATTTTGCTGTGCTATGCTTCTCTAAATGCTAAAATTTTGCCACCTGTGCAACCGCACCGGTTGCACCGGCTCCGGCGTCATCCCTACTTAGTGGAATATTATCAAAACATTGTTGCTGAACGCGATAGAAATACAATTGTTCTTTTTCCCGTTGTCAAGCATAATAAAGATCTTCAATTTTTCCTCTATGCACTTTAGCGCAAAATGAGCTCTCAGGTTACTGTCATTTTATAAGGTATTTCTCGCGCCTTCTTAGCATGCCTTCGTAGTGTAGTGGTCTGCACACCGGGCGCGTATTCCAGTCGACCGTGATTCGATTCCCGGCGAAGGTGTTGCTCATTTTTGATCATTCCTGTTTCAAAATTTACCTATTGTCTCTACAATTCAGTAAAGCAAAAAAGCTTCAATAAAGCATATTTATTTTTCAAACTGAACCATTCCCGTATTGATGAACAAATTCAGGGAACCGATTTGATTGTAATGTGTTACCACTGTGGTAAGCAAAATATCTTTCATTTTTCTATCATGCATCTTTTCACTTAGCCGTTTTTGGTGTGTTTCAGTTTGTCAAAGAATAAAGTCTTGAATTTATGTTTTAAATGTAATCAATATATTACTGATGAACAAACGCAGGGATTAAAGTTGCGCTGTTCTTAAAAACTTAAGTTTTTTATTTTATTTATATTAAAAATGTACCTAAATGATATAAAAGGAAATATATTTAATTTATAATACATCCAAATAATACATTTTATTAACATAGTAATTGTAATAAATTAATGAATTGCTTTGTAGTAATAAATGAAGAGCGTTCCTAACACCGTATGTCACGAAACTGTTATAGAATGACTTTTCCTAATTTTCTAATCTTTACGATAGTTCACAATACTTTACATCTTCAATAATTCTTTTGAAAACTTTAATAGTAAGTTCTTCTTTTAGTGTTAGTCCATAAACTTAAGTCTTCATAATGCAGTTTATTATTATCGTTATTAATTCTGCTTTCTATCCCTTTACAAGCAGATGCTTTTGACGCGTTTCTGCAAGTAATTCTCTTTAATTATATCTAGTTTTTCAGTGTACACACATGTACTGAAAATGCTTGTTAAATTAGAGAAAACTTTTTGACTCGAATTTTAAGTGCATGTCTTTTTCAACGAATTTTAACATTTTCTGTTTGAAATTTTAAACTTTCATCCAGAAGACTGTGAATGAATGCACATTTTTTTTTTTTTTTTTTGAAGTGACAACTTTAGCAAATATATAGTATACTTTTATTGTTGCTGTGTTAAGTACAGATTCTTACTTATTTTTTTTTCTTTTCAAACAGCTCCTAAACCAGAATTCGGTTACAATGGTGCAGTAACTGCCACATCTCCAGGAGGTGGTACTTATCCAAATGGTTCACCAGCTTCTACTGCCACGGCGGCTGGTGGTGGTACAGGTCCTGGGTCAGGGCGAACGAACTTCACCACCAAACAGTTAACAGAACTGGAAAAAGAGTTCCACTTCAACAAATACCTTACTAGAGCACGGCGAATAGAGATAGCTTCAGCCCTCCAGCTCAACGAAACCCAGGTGAAAATTTGGTTTCAAAATAGAAGAATGAAACAGAAAAAAAGAATGAAAGAAGGCCTCCTACCCACCGATGTAGGTTCCACCAAAGAGAACAGTCCAACCTGCACTACACCAACTCTCCTTAACAGTCCCCCAACTGCGGGAAGTGGCGCAACAACGCCATTATCTTCTAAAGATGCAAACCAGTGACATGATTCCATTTGTACTTCATTTCGTGGTACAGCACATAAGAAAACAGGATTATTCTATTTCTAGCTCATCAAAAAATGTACAGAGATTCGATGGCTGGAAATACTTATGTATCTATGGCTTGCTTAGAGACCAGGGACTATCTAAAGGACAGGGCCGTGCTTCTATAATGGCTTATCTTGAAAACAGAACTGCCAAGGGCGCCTATGATGTAAGGGTTCCTATTTTTGTGACTTCTATTCCGTCGAAATGTGATGCCATGTTAGATTTTACATCTAAGAGAATGTTACTGTAATTTTAAATGTCAGCAGAGAAAATGACAATTTCTTGTCAATTGGAATGAAGTTCAAAGTATCAGTTCAAAGGAAATTTTGTGTGGCATTAAATCTTATATTATTTAAAGTTATTATATGATGATATATTGAGTAAATATAAGTATTTGCTTTCTATTTCATATGTAAATATTAAATATGTTTAGTTTTGAGTTATAAAATGTTTTATGTGAATATTTTGTAACTCTTGTGAAATGAAACATTTAATTAAAAGGAAAATAAGGATATATTTATATACAAAGGAGAAAATTACAAATAAGAAAATGTATATTAGTCTTAAATTACTGAAAAAAAATTTTGTTTTTATGCACATTGAATTTCAATCTTGATAAATTTAGTATTTAATAATAACTTAATATTTAAATTTGAAGAGAATGAATGAAATGAAACAGACACTTTTTGTGATTCCAGAAAAGTATGTATTATATTAACAAATTAAATTAAATTATTTACTGACTTGAGGATATATGTACTCACAATCACAGCTTAAGAAGATTCAAATCTAATTACAAATTCACTAGAAATAATATTTAATACGTTTAATTTACTCGTTTTTGTTTTTCTTTGGTCTGAGAAATATTTTAATTATACAAATGCATTATTTTTCTTTTTGACAGAAAGTTTCATTTTTTTATTAAACAAAAGGTGTAGCAATTATTATAATTATTTACTTTTATTTTAATAAATTAATGAGTCATTATAATAATATTTACTTTTATTTAATAATTAATGAGTAATTATAATAATTAATTTTGTAAAAATTAAAAATAGGCCATGAGCTTTTAGTGAAACTAATTAAATAATTGTAAACCTTTTAAGAAACATAATATCTAAAAATGAATTCAATTTAAAGTTTTTTGGAAAATTTAACCAAATGCACTTCAGTGTGTGTGGCTGTACTTTTAATTGAATGCCATTATAAGATATACGGATGATTCTACTTTGAGAAGTTCATAGTTTTGGGTATACCTTCATTATAAATTCATTTCCACAAATTTTATAGTTAAATTAAAGTAGCTAATTAGTAAGAAATAACAATTTCTGTTGGAAAATATTGCTAGAATATGATTTTCTCTCTTTTCTAAAACATTAGTCATTAATATGTTTTCCCATTTTTATAATAATACTGAAGAAAGAAGATCTGAATATTTACATACAAATGAAAATGAGTTTCTCTCTCACTAAAGATCTTATTATAATATTTAATATAATAAAAAATTTAACTTATTCACATGTTTATTTGCTTGGTAAAAACAATACTATTTAATTATTTAAAACTTTTCCATATTTCTATATAAGCGTTTCAAAGCAATTTGGAAGCAAAGTGCTAAAGAAATACAATGCTTTAGAACAGCCCATTAATACACTTTATTAATAAAGAGAATTTTTAGTTTCTCATTCGTTATTTTTGTTCATAAAAATCTGCACTTTCTATATTGTTTATATTTCATTTGTTTTAATCTTAAGCATAAAACATGTTAGAAAGAGAAATTTTCCTTCTCAAACAATCTTTTCCTGTCTGTTATAGTAACCTAATTTTAAAGATAAAGTTTAAATAAAAATTTTAATTAACAGAAAAATTCAAGTCGTACTATTATAAAAAGAAAGGCGTAAATACATTTAAAAAAAACGATTAATAAGAGTGAAGTGTAACGCTGTCTTATGAAAGCATTATCCCTATTTTACACTAAGTTTTCATATGCAGGATTATTTAATATATCTCTCTCAAACATAAGCCAGAAGCATCAAATTGCTTGTCACAAAGTATGAAAAATTCATTATTTGTTTCTGCTTTTAATAATTCACAATTATATAACAATTCATTATTGTAAAGGTCATATGCCAAACATTTAATTGCATTATGTGACTAAATTTTGTATTGTTTAACTAAAACGCTTATTTATCACTAAATTATATTTTCAGTTATTTGTAAACAATTTTTTTCCATCGCTTTATTTCCTTCGTTAATCATAACCTCCAAATGTTCTGTTATAATCGTAATGTGATCAAAGTTAAAAAATGCTTCTATGAAATATTTTATGACTTTATGTGTAAATCAACAATGAAAGGCATGGAACTTTACATGAAATATGTATTTTTATATAGAATATGTCAAAATGTAAAGTTTGTGTCACCAAATATTCATATAAATGTATATGCTACATACATACCTCAGCTCTACTATCAGCCGATTTGTAAAATAAAACTGTCTAATTAATGTTTGACTTTTATATCATGTCTCTCAAACTTCACCACAGAATAGAATCAGTTTAAAATTTAGTTATGTCACCAAAACATTAGTCATTAATATGTTTTCCGCATATATAATAGTATAAGGTCTTATCTTATTTATTGCAACAACTTAAACTATTATGGCACTTTATGACCGCTCTTTCCGATTTTCACCAGAGCATATCTGTGATTGTCGACATACACCGGTGAGGGTCCGAATATACAAGAATGTAGTGCAATATTCGATCTTTCACCGACGTATTTGGCGAATGTTGATATTCTCCGGTGAAAGTCGACCTTCTTCAATTTCGGTCTTTCACGGTAACATATATACATCAACGTTATAGAATCGAAATTTGTTTCTTTTGATTTTCAAATCTGAGTAATGTACCGAATGAAAAGTGAAAAATAGTAAAGAAAGCAACAACTTTCACCAAGAAATATATATAAAACGTCTAATTAATAACAGCGAAGAAAAAATTGAACCAGTTCTAGAACATCTTCAGTGTCTGTTCTCCATACCTCACCACCGTCCGACCAACCTCTCGAGCTCTTCACCTTGAGCACGAGCAAAATGCCATTCATCATCCGTGTCACATCAGTATGATGTCTCTGTATGTTTATTTAAAGGGCATTAGTGACATTTGATGACCTCCATGATAACAGATTACGATTTGACGGCGTCCGCTTTAAAGTAGCGAGAGAACTCAAGATACTCACGAAATTCCAGATCGAGGAAATGACAGAAAGGGACAGAGAAAAGCTCTCTGTATTTATATTGCATGTGACACAAGGGAATGAAGATGTCATGCTACGAAAAAGGGTTAAAGGTTTTTATTTCTAATGTTTCAGGGCGAATTTATTTGTGTTTGTTTTGATGGAAAGGTAGATATGCATTCGTTGTATTCCTACGTCATTTATATGGAGGCGTGATTTTATTTTGACCAGGACAACAAACATAGTTCTGGAAGTCTAATTATTTTGGCTTTTTAGTATTCAGCTATCAACGGCATTTAAAAAATATTATAATCACACATATTGCATGCGGAATCAAAATGCTTGTTAGAAAGATAAGTGGAAATATTTTTTGCTGCGTAAGTACCTTCTTGAAGTTGTTTGTGCTTATTAATCATTATTCATGGTAATAATGACAGAATTAAGCGAAGCTGATATTAAAAGATTAAGAGGACGGACGAAATCTACTCTAACGCGGCTTCGCACTAGTTTCAGTAATCAGTTAAGTGTAACCGAATTAAAAGCGTGATTAGAAAGAATTGAGCAATTATTTAAAGAATTTGATCAATAGGATGCCGCTTTACCCGAAGAAGCTTCTGAAATTGCTGAATTCGAAGCTAAAATATTTTGAAACGAATGTAATGTATCAATTCTCCATTGAATCGTCAACGGCCAGAAATGTTTTGATTTCAAATACCATTGCAGTTGAGGCTAGCTTTAAACTTTCTCGTTTAAACATTCGGAGTTTCAATGGTAAATTGAATTGGTGATTGGCTTAATTTTAAAGATCTGTACATGGCGACAGTTCATACCAATCAGTCATTAGCAATAATTCAGAAAATTCCAATATTTGATAGGACTTTTAGCAGACGAACCAGCTGCTATTATTAAGCACATTCCGATTTCCGAAACTACATATCAAGAGGCCCCTTACCATTAAGATTTAAATACATTTGGTTTCATATTTTGCTACTGCTAAAGAGAGTCACTTTTAGAAAACTTGCTCATCACCCTTATGAGCAAATGACTGAGGGGTTAAATCTTTAACAGCGTTTATATTGATAAGCTTTCCGAAATGGACTATTTCATCGGACGTCCATGTTCATTGCTTGCATAGCAATATCTGTCTTCATAACGACAACATACCAAAAGCTTAGATTTAATAGTTTGCAAAATGGCGCTTTTAAAAAAAAATCATCTTCTGGAACTTAAGGGCAGGTTCAGAGATATAAATAAATTCATAAACACAATCGAAAACGGTGTAAAGATATTGTGCATCAGAGGGAAGCCATTCCCTAACTCGTTCCAGCACTACAAGAAATTCCTTGTCGAACCTATCTTGAACAAGTTGTTATTGGTACAAACATTTCAAAAACTATATTTTTTCTTTTTTCAAACAAAACATTAGAAATATTTGTTGCATATTACAACAAGATCAAGCGTAATGAAGAGATATAAACTCATAAGAGAATTGCTAACCTCTTTGAGAACAATGACTTCGTCTAATGACATGTATTAAGTTAGCAAATTCTATTTAATGGACTTTCGCTGAAGTCCTGCTTCAAAATGGCTTCTACAATATCCTTTTTCCATACAAGTTTAAAAGTTCTGTGATGACATTATAATAATAGGTTTCCGCTTTGATTTACAAGGGTATTATGTTGTTTTACATTTTCTCGGATTTATTCTTCCTTTTCCTTATTATTTTTATTTTGATTTCATTTATGATATCTTCACAAGTATTTGAAAAATTTAAATTTATCTTTTCTTACACATTACCTCTTCAAATTTATTTCAAAAGTTTTTCTGTTATTTTTATTTTTATTTTTTAACCTTGCTAGGAATTTGTCAGTATTTTTTACTCATTGTAATTATATAATTCTCATTTTATAAAGTAAGTTAGATGTTTAATTATTTAATTACGTAGAATTACTCATAGGCTGAAACATAATCTTGGCACAACATTTCTAATGGAGATAACTCGTATAGATATACATTGTTAAATTGACTAAAATGTAGTGTAGCCAACCACATCAATCCTCAAGAAAACTTGCATTCTGTGGCTTTCAACTATGCGAACACTTATGGAGCTTTTGTAATTATTAACTTAATATTGTGATAATGTAGTGTATTATTGTGTAGTATTAAGTGTGATTAAGTAACGATAATGATAAGAATTCAATTCGTATAACAAAACATTTATCGTTTTTCTAAGAGCACATGAAAATGGTAGTAATTTACGCTACTAATCATTATTTTCACATTTTTTCTTTACGTAAAACTAAAACATTCTATGCAAAGTTTTGGTTAAGTAACTCAGTTGGTGAGCAAAACTTCTATCGCTCCTTTATCAAATTACCGTTATATTTTCTGGAAAATAATAAAACAAATAAGCACTGCGTTTTACTTATTATTAATCAAGTTAAATAACTTTGTATACGTTAGGATTTTGTTATTAATTAAAAAGGATTTTAATTTAAATGTAACATTTTGGAGTCATATTTTAATATACTTATTAAAAATATTTTAAGCATTTTATTGTTAACGGCTGAAAATATGCCATAGAAATGTTAAGCGTAACGTTGGAAGAATAGACCTCTAAAAGCCTTTTTCCGGTAAATTCTTTTAAACAAAACGTAGTCTCTTATCAGTGGCAGATATTTTCTG